CCCCACTATAAACTGATCGTAAGAAAATGTTGAGCAATTAATGCGCCATTTGTTGGACATTCAAACATTTGTAATTCTCCTTTTCTCCAAAAGCTTCAACGTTTCCTGTTTAATTTCTGGTTTTACACAATGCTTTTTCTCTTTAATGAGTTGTGATGTATAACACCTATGCAGCGGCTATTTTGTATGATTATGTACATTAATGACCAGGATTAAAAACTTAAGGGCTTATGCCTTATGGACATGGTCGCAAAGGGTCATATGCTTATCTTACGTCTGTATTTTTTTTTGTCTTGGGAGTCACAGGCGCAGCGTACACCAGCATCCAGGAAGACTATTTTGGTAAATGACAGGCTGCGGCTGTGCATGGTTATATGCTGATATACGTGGCCATAGGCGCATCCCCATTTGGGGCTCACAAGAAGTAGTTTGGATGGTGCTGGCCATTATTCTACACAAAAGAGGATCGGTGGATCGGTGGCCGGCTGTGGAGGAACAGTTGCCCTTTTTTTTAACATGGGGGTGGGCGAGGAAAGAATTTATGAAGGGTTCTCAAAGAAGACCTCCAGGCATATGAAATCTTAACCCATGCAGTGGGCCTACCCCTACACTGCATGTTTTATCCAGGGAGCTAAAATAAAGAAATACTCACCCGAATCTCGGTCCTTTTAGGCTCACTTCCCCTCTGCTCTGTGAGTCTATGGACAAAATCAAACACAGCGCCAGCAGATTTTGGTTCAAGAGAGTATTAATCAATGATGTTCAGGAGTGCAGGGCGATAACGGGGCGGCTCTCAAACTTTTTAATAAATGAATAAAAAATGGTATAAAAGGTACTCACAAAGGACGAATAAAAACAAAGGACGAATAATTGGGGGTGTTCCCAATTGGTTCTGAGGAACACCCCCAATTGGTTCTGAGGAAGGAGGCTTGACCTGTGAAACGCGTAAACCACTTCACTACCAGTGAAGACCAACAGCCGGTGGATATGCACCTTCCGTTCTGACCCTTTTATGCCTGTTTTTATCCGTCCTGTGTGAGTACCTTTATACCATTTTTTATTAATTTATTAAAAAGTTTTTATGCGATGGAGGCGCTCTCTGTGTCTTGTCTGGGAGTCTATGGACCTGTGAGTCATCACATTTGATACAGTGTATTGGACGTCGAGGAACATTCTATCACCAGAGTGGAGGGGGAACAAGGTTGCATGGACCGATCTAGAGGCCAGCTGAGTCCAAGATTTAGGTGAGTATATCTTTGTTATTTTAGCTCCCTAGACAAAATGAGCACTTAACCCTTGCAGTGTGGGGGTAGCCCTGCTGCAAAGGTTAACATTTCATGTGCCTGGAGTTCTCCTTTAAGTGACTCCTTTTACTATCCCATTGAGTTTTGACAGTACCTTTGCAGAGAGGTTGTTGTAACAAGCTGTGCATTGCTCCCTCCTTCATGTCACAGCTCCCATAGCAATTCCTACATAGCAGCTGTGAATCTCAATGTAATCATTAACTTTACCTTTGGAAGGTTGATATGCAGGAATGTAGTATACCTGTGTAGTATATCTGCCTGGATACAGTGACATCATTCACTGCTTTCCTGAATGGCTGTGATTATTCTTCTGGTGTAGAGCTTACTTTACTATGCCAAGAAAGTAAACTGGCAGCCAATACGAAAAATATTCCAGTTAATGGGCAAAGGAGGGATGATATAATTTGTACTTGGCCAGACTTACTATATGGGCACAGTGCAGTCCTGCACATGCCATTTCAAATGGTGAAGTCAATTTTTGTCAGGGCTGCTATCTAGTGATCGATAGAGAGCTAAACCATGTGAAATGCTATTAGACAGGATGGCAAAAGGAATAGCAAGGGTCACTTTAACATTGGCTACCGGATGGTTGTAATAGTTGCTTGCTTGCCCCCTAAAATAACGCACAGACTAATTAGACAGTAAGCCATCTTATTGTCTAGTAATAGGAACAATACTCTTGAGGATCCCATACAATGAGACATGTTTAAACAGGTAATAGGGGTTTGCTCAACACAATTATCTGTCACTGATGGCATTTGGAAAATGCACAGCTGTTCTCACAGCTCAATGCAAGAGACACTCAGCGTTACTGGCAGTCCACCTTGGAGGGGGATATTGCATACACTTTTTCTGGCTAGTGCCCAAGCAGCTGGCTCAAGCAACGTACGCACCTCTGCATCACCCAACTAGATTGCAGGACAATCTACGCATCTTACCCATGCTCTGCATCACCCAACTAGATTGCAGGACAATCTACGCACTTTACCCATGCTCTGCATCACCCAACTAGATTGCAGGACAATCTACGCACCTTACCCATGCTCTGCATCACCCAACTAGATTGCAGGACAATCTACGTACTTTACCCATGCTCTGCATCACCCAACTAGATTGCAGGACAATCTACACACCTTACCCATGCTCTGTATCACCCAACTAGATTGCAGGACAATCCACCCCCTTTCCCCATGCTCTGCATCACCCAACTAGATTGCAGGACAATCTACGCACCTTACCCATGCTCTGCATCACCCAACTAGATTGCAGGACAATCTACGTACCTTACCCATGCTCTGCATCACCCAACTAGATTGCAGGACAATCTACACACCTTACCCATGCTCTGTATCACCCAACTAGATTGCAGGACAATCTACGCACCTTACCCATGCTTTGCATCACTAGACTAGATTGCAGGACAATCTACGCACCTTACCCATGCTCTGTGTCCCCCAAATACATTGCAGGACAATCTATGCACCTTACCCATGCTCAGCATCACCCAAATAGATTGCAGGACAATCGATGCACCTTACCCGTGCTTTGCATCACTAGACTAGATTGCAGGACAATCTATGCACCTTACCCATGCTTTGCATCACTAGACTAGATTGCAGGACAATCTACGCACCTTACCCATGCTCTGTATCACCCAACTAGATTGCAGGACAATCTATGCACCTTACCCATGCTCTGCATCACCCAACTAGAATGCAGGACAATCTACGCACCTTACCCATGCTCTGTATCACCCAAATACATTGCAGGACAATGAGGTGGAAAAGAGGTTAGACTTCAAACAATATAATTAATAAATAGCCCAATGGCTTACTTTATTTATAGAAAATTTGTTTAAATACATAGAAAGAGTGCAAGAACGGCACCGTCGTGACGGAATCCCTTTAAAATTGGCAACGTTGACAAACAATACATACATATAAAATAAAAGGATTCCTCCTTCATGGCTGCAAATTGCTGCATTGTCAGGGTGAACCACAAGTACCCCTTTCCAAAAGTGCCGACACTTCTTCCTTACCCACAATATCATTACTGCTATTATGATCGACGGAGATTGTCTTTTATAAACCGGAATAAGATAAAATATAAAGGTAATAAATGCTTTGATTTGCTGAGTAACGACAATAATAACATGTACAAAAGGCTCTTTAAAAATAAAAACCCAGCATAACACATGCAATAGTTTAATAACCATGGACAGTTTATTGTTTATCCTTCCACTAAAATAATTCTCACAGGGTTCAGATGATTTTTTTGCATATGCATTGTATTTCATTTTTAGATTAGAAGCTCTTACAGCAAGGTTCCTCCTAACCATCTTGTCTTGAATTGTATTGTAATGTCTTCCTTATATTGTAAAGCGCTGCGCAAACTGTTGGTACTATATAAATCCTGTATAATCATAATAATAATTTGCCGCTTACATGTTATTGTATTGTTTTTTTTTTTAGGTATTTCCATTGTAAAAGTCAGGTCACTCACAGGTTCTAGCTCCCTAGCGTAATGCTATCCTCAAACTGGCCATGTGTGAGTCTCAATGAGGGGTCTATTGAGGGGAGCAGGAAACATTTAAAGTGGTGTCAAAAATACCAATTGGTAAGATAACAGTGATATGTGAAAAAAATGAGGCTTTCAACAGTTGTAGTCTGCTGTTTCCTTCTGCCCACCCCTTGCATCCAGTGGTGACGTAGAAGGCAGTGGAAGGGGAGCAAGAAATTGACACTTGAGGAAGTGTCAAATACCTGCAGCGGCCAGAGGTCGTTATAAGACACAGATGTCGGAAAGGTTAGTATATTTCTGCTTCTTTTCCAGCCTGTCCTTTGAATTTAAGAAATCACTAGATTCCCTCATCCACGCTGAACAATGTGTCTGAATACCCCATCTGATTGGATGCAGGCACCGTTCAGCTGACAATTTTGCACCCGCCTTTGGGTTTTCATTTGAAAGTTGTTGAGTCAGCAGGGGCCAACGGGGCCACCCACGGACTGAGTTGCACTTTATTTAGCAGAAAATGGTCAGAATTTGAACCATGCATGTGAAATACGCCTAAAGGCCCGTTATATAAATCCACCA